AATCTACTTGAATAAGGTTTCATTCGAATAATTTACCAGGATCGAATAAAGAATTTTGTTCGAATGATTTATTCAAACAGAGATTCCTAAATGATTCGAACAATAATGCGAATAATTATTGAGCGTTTTGTTCTTACGTAAAGAATTACACGAACAAAGAACTACACGAAAAAAATGGATAAAATAATTCCTCACCAGACTGCTGGTTTTTAAGTAAAATAACAAATGTTCGAATCAATTTTAAGAAACGAAAATTAAATAAAAATACGCCTCTTCTCTCGACGATTTCATTCGATAACGAACAATCGTTGTTCGAGTAAAAAGAAAACATTCGACTACAAATAATTTCCTCGAATAATTATTCTATATAAATATTTATGCGAAATAATTCGAGCAATGGCCGACTCTAAGTCGATTACCTCAGAAACATTCGAGTCATTTGAAACGTTCGAATTTCGAAACAATAAATTTCGGAATCGGAAACGGCAGCTTATCGAGACGATTTTACGTCGACAAACGGTCGCGTTTATTATTCTTAAATAACGCCCGGCCGTAGCGACGGCGCGGCGCGTTCATTTTATTTACAATTTGATTCGCTGATCGATTCGGCCGAGTACAATTAGCAGGCTGGCCGTTAATGGGTCGGTTAACGAAACAGGTCACGTGACGGCGGCGCGTTGGTCGCACGTCGAAACGGCAAGCGTATTTATTATTTCCGAATACGAGTGCCGCGGGCCGTCCGCATAAAATCCTCGTAAATTCTTCGGCGCCCCTTTCAACTAAATTACAGAATCAATAAACGGCCCGATCATTAAGATAACGACCGAATAGAGTCAAGTTTTCCGAGTCGCGGGGACCGGGCCCGCGGGAAACGATCTTATCGATCCGAAAATCTGCAACCGTTCCCGATCAGCGGTTACGAATCTATCCATTTTTTCAATCGCCGATAATTCGATGAAATTTTCAGCCGATATCGGTTTAGTAAATATTAGCGATAAAACGTTATAGAACGTAACAATTTTAGGTTATTTCAGCGTAACAATGTTAGCTTAGCTTCTCGCGGGAGAAACGTCGAAAAAAACTTGGTTTCCATTATTTTTCAACTTCCGCTCTTCGGATTGAAAAGTCTGAACAAATTCGTGAACGATAATTATAAAAATATAAAAAAATATAAAAATACAAATAAAGGATACAAATAAAAATACAAATAAAAATCCGGCAAAAATACAAATATCGTAACTATAGAACTTCCATATGAAATCTGTACATTCTCGATTTTTTTGGCAATTTTTCACTTCTCGCGAGCAGAATTTTCAATTTAAAAATCCGAAAAAATTGCAGAGTGTGAATTTGGATCTTTCTACGCGTCTGAGATTTTTCTCAGAATTTCTAAGCATCAAAGGATAGGCGAGAAACCGATTTTCCGATTTTCACCCCGTAACTACCCCCGCGATCGAGATATCCTCTGAAAGAATTACCGTAAAAAATTGCGATAAAAATACGAGAGGAATTTTGGGCCATTTGTTGAACCGGCGCACCGGTATCGCAATTATTGTTGTGAACCTAAGCGAGGCCGATCTCTTTCGGAATCGGCGGTTCCCACGATTTCGAAATCGCGGATCATCGGCGGCGAACAGAAACGTTAGGCGAATCAGGATCGCGCGCGTTTATGACTAATGACGCGGTTAATAGTCAGCGGCACGGGCTCCCGGTATTTTCTGTTCGGTTTCGATCGATCGATCGCGGCTGCGAGCAGCCGACTGCGCGCAGCGTGCCTCGCCTCGCCTCGCCTCGCCTCGTTTCCACTCGGCGGAAAGGGAAAAGAGCGAGGAAGGTGGGAAAAAAAGGAAAACCGGAGAGAAAAGAGATGAAAAAACTAGGCGGAACCTGTTGCCACGTTAATGACTCGATGATTGTTATCATACAAAGTACGCGAGCGCGAGCCGATCATTAAATCGATACCGTTCATCTGTCTCGTATTTTCTCCTTGTCTAAATACGGGATCGGGCCCCGATTCCATCTTGTTCCCGCGGTTGCCGAGCGCTACAAATGCTACACGAAAATACATTTTCTCAAATTGTTCCAGTCTGATTTTATTTACAACATTTTCTTCTCCATTTTTCAATCTTGATTCATTGTCAAAAATCTGCTAGTTTTAGCTGCACAAAAAATAGATCTTTTTAAATGCTACAATCATAATTTATTTTCAAAAGTTTGTTCGTTTTAGCTGGACACAAAAAATAGTTCTTCTCAAATGTTCCAGTCTTAATTTATTTTGAAAAATCTGCTAGTTTTAGCTGGACAAATCTGATTTTTCTCAAATGTTCCAATCTTAATTTATTTTGAAAAATCTGCTAGCTTTAGCTGGACAAGAATAGTTCTTCTTAAATATTTCAATCATAATTTATTTTCAAAAGTTTGTTAGTTTTAGCTGGACTAAAAAAACAGTTCTTCTCAAATGCTACAACCTTAATTTATTTTAAAAAAATCTGCTAGTTTTAGCTGAACACAAAAATAGTTCTTCTTAAATATTTCAATCTTAATTTATTTTCAAAAATCTGCTAGAGTTTCAGCTGGACAAAAATAATGTTTCTGAAATATTTCAATCTTAATTTATTGTCAAAGATCTGCTGGTTGACCTAAGCAAATACATAATTCCAACAAAGATACCTCTTATTTTATCTTGTTTTATTTATTTATTTATGTATGTAAGTATAAAAAACCCTTCGTTACAGAACATTTACTTTGCAACTAAATAAACTTCGTTATTATATACATTATATTAAACTCCGTTAGCACTATTGCAATTTATTTATTTAAGAAAGCGATTGTTTATGATTTATATAACATCATGCAAGACAAACGAACTTGTAAATAATATATAAATGTCTTTTTCTCTTCGACGATAACAAATAGAATAAAGATTGAACAAATCAATTTTACATGCTCCCTTTTTCGAACAATAAATTAAGATTATTTTCTATCATTTATTTATTCGGGCCCGTCGAAAATATGCTAATTGAGATCGAACCGCTCGACCGGAATCAGCTCGCGAGCCAATCGGCCTCGAGAGAACGAACGCGAATTGCGCGCGTTACGCACCGTTTGAAACCGCCAAGATGGAAATTCGCAACTCCGCTGCGAATTC